AAAAAAGGAATTACGTAAGAACGGGAAAACCTTAAAGAGATTTTGATGGACTTTTTGTTGGATTGTTCTAAAATAGTGACTTTAATGGATGATTCTGGTTGGAAGCCTCGTGTTTTATTCATTTCTTTTTTCCCAAAAATCTAGCCGATATTTCATTCATAGAATACTGACACAATTAGGTTGCAGTCATTGGTTCAATAAATGTTAAAGAAAATTTTTGGATGACTTTTCGAACTTTTTCAATGATTAAAAATGAGGAGGAATATTTGAAATTATTGTTGAACTTAAAGTGAAAAACTACAGTCAAAAGGCAAAGACCAGATAGTTAACCAGTACGAGAAGGTGCCTCTGAACTGGCATTAGCGGACTAACTAGTTCAAGCATGTACATTTGCCCAACCTTTTTTTAATTTCCAGTTCAACCCGATTTCAGCCAAAACGCAACGCGTAGAGCTTTCGCATTTTCCTCTTTGGCAGATTTTATTGTTTTCAAGCTAAATAGATAAATAAATAAATGGTGACCACCTACCCCTCCCCTAAGTCACAATTTTGCCCTAAGTGAAAAGTAGTGTTAATGTTAAATTAGGGAAGGGGTAGGTGGGCAGTTACCCAGAAATCCCTTTTAATCAATCCAAAAAACTGCAAAAAACAATAACAAAATAAACTAAACAAAAAAAGGGCGAAAAGTGAAAAACCACGATAAAAATCGATGGAAACCGAAAACCCACAGAGTCTGGCAGTCAAAAACGGCAATCTTACTATAGTTTTTAAATAATTTACAGGTGTTCATGCAAAGTAATGAACTGTGAATTAGTGGTACACATCATGTTATTTACTTGAAGACTTGTTGTTCTTGTTACCAACAATACGGTTACAAATATGAAAACCCCCAAAACATTTAAAAAAAATAAAACCAAGAGCCATTATAGCTCTACATAAAACTGAGCACACTTAAAAAAAAGAAAAGAAAACCGCCGAAAGGGAATTCTCCTGTAAAATCATAAATTTGAAGAAGACGAATCCCGAAAAAAGCTCCAATCTTAATGCAGTAAAGCCATAAAACTATAAACGCCAATGTTAAGTCCCCTATTAATGACGTAACAATTACTGATTTGACCCAATGATAATCTCAATATACACCAGTGAAAAGCTTGATTCTTTGAAACGCAGATTTAATACTTCGAAAAAAAAAATCTTGATTCTTTTAAATGGAGTCTTGATTACCTGAAACGAAAACTTGATTACATTCGAAACAAAATAATCTTTGGAATACAAGTCAACATTAAACTTTATCTGCATATCGGTTCTGAATAGACCTTTCCACGAGTTCAACAAGTTATAATTAGGGAAAATCTGTCGACAACACTGGAAGGAGCGTCTTAAAATTAGTAAAATTGTCAGCTCCGCAAAGTCGCTAAATTTTACAGACGTTTGTATAGTTGGGAGGGGGCACATTTGTGCCCCGCTCCATACAAACGTCTCTAAAATTTCACGACTTTGCGGCTGTGCTATATCTTCGTTGGTTTTCAACAAATCACTAACAAACTTGGCAATTTTACTAATTTTCATTGAAAAAACCGTGAAAGGGTCTGTTGACTGTAACTTTAGAATCGCAACTGGGCGAAAAAATTGCTTGAGGCTACCGAGAACAACCGAGGCAAAATACACAGACCGAACCAGATCAGGAGAATGAAACAAGCTGAAAATTCATAAAAAATTAGCGGCAAGAGATCAACTGACTAATTGAATCTTACTCTCTCTTCTTCTACTCACACTATGAGCAAACGCTAAATAAAAGGTAGAACGCTTGAAGGTAGTTTAACACGTGTTATTAACTATACTTCAATTTGCTTCACTTCCAGCAATTGCACAGGTTTACAATGACGAGGGTAGTGAAGCATACGGCAAAAAAGACTACAGTAACGCCATTTACTTTTATACTGAGGGGATTAAAGTGAACAGCAAGGACAAGGATCTGATGGCTGAACTGTACAGCAACAGAGCACATGCACACCTTTGTTTGGGTGAGGCTGTTTGTATTTTCCAGGGTTTAGTAGGTTGCGTACTTGTAAGACTTTCAATTAATTGCTATCAGGTGTTGTGCTTGTTCAAAGCCCTCACTATTGTTTTGATACAAAGAGGAACATAACGTGTTGTTTGATTGATTGACTTGGCCTGCTGACAACACAAGATAATATTTTATTTGAGGTCTTATACCACCATGGTTCATCAACGTTTTCCAAATAATTCAAAATTACAAAATATACTAGTTATTAATTACACTACGACACCCGGGAGGGGGGCATTCTCTATACATGGAAGCTCCGCCCGAAAGCGGTACCTTGGTATATGAAAGAGAGGGGAATTCACGAGTTAATTATATAGCATGGTAGAAAAATCTATCTTTTGATTATTTCGAAAAGGCACACGATATTTTAGGTGTTATTTTTCAATGGAAGGTATACGACGGGGGGACCTTTTCTGTCACAAATGGTATATAAAAGCGTAAGGGGTTGGACCTCAGGGCGGAGCCTCCTCGCATGGAACTGTGTTGAGGGCTTTCCCAGTTTTTTTTTTTTTTACACTTTCGAAAGCTATCTCGCCTTAACCGATTGTATTTGCTTTAAGTTGTGATTACCTTGCCGCACCTGTTGTGACTGTGTTTGGGTTTGTTTTTCAAATATTTTTTAAAGGAAATTACAGTGACTCACTGAGAGATGCAAAAGATGCTACTGACATACGGCCATCGTCACTCAAAGCGATAATAACAGGTGATTTTATACCTACAATAGTCTCTTAGGTTTACCTTGATAATGCCATTACGTTCAAAGAGAAGAGTTCGCATTACCAGGACCTCTCGGAAGCACCACACCCTTGTATATCGTAGTTTGGCTATGCAAAGCGTTTTGAAACCGAAATTTCAGGGTTCAGTATTAAGGTCAACGTGGTAGTAATTGTGCCCATGGTTACGGTTGCTTGAAAAAGGGCATATGACAATAAGCGTATAGCACATTTAGTAAGAGTATAGACTGTGGATATGACGTGATGAGCCGCGATTTATTTTTCTCTGTCTCCCGCGCGTGATTTTCCAAGAAACTTTGCTCGGAAGTCAAGTAATAACTGTCAATGTTATTGTAAAAAAAAAAAAAAGAAAAGAATATTGTTGTCCGCGAGCGTTTGTTAGTTTCTTGTCAGAAACTGCCAGGGATGGATACGCCTGAGATGCCAGATTTGAGGAAGCTTTACTGTATGCTGCTGTTTTACTGAATTATATATTTACATATTTCAGGAGCTAAAGCCTCTTTGAAGATGAATATGTTTGAAGACGTGATCGCGTGGTGTGAAAGAGGATTAGAAGTATCCTTATGTTCAAACTTTTCAACTCAATTGTAAAAAGGTGTTGAAACGTGTTCATTATACGCATCATTCTACATTCCCGGTTAAAATTGTTGAAACCCTTGCGAACTTCTTCTCCCCTCCCCCGTTTTAAGACGTTTTATGCGTAAGCAAACCCGTGACACCAACATTAGGGGATGGAGAGGGAAGCAATACGTGTATTCGTGGAACGACTTATTTTATCTTGACTTTGCATTAAGAATCCTGAATTTTCCGCAAATGGGCGGCAACATCCCCACCAAACCGGCCAGTGGTGTTTATCAAGTGAGGATAAAGGGTCTTTCTGGTGTTTATATATCTCAACTGGTGAGATATGCTAGGATCTGCTCGTCAAAGGTGGACTTTCTTGATAGACTTCGCCCACTTTCTTCTACGTCTAAATCAACAACCTTGAAAAACAACCTTGCCCAGTTGTTCGAATGCCGGCTAGCGCTAGCCCGGGTTTCCTCTATCGGATAATTTTCTCTATTCTTTTTAGAGTATCCAATCACGAAATTGTAGGCAAAGAGAATTAAACTGAATTTGATTTTTAAGCTCTCATATTTGAGTTCAAATTTAGCACTAACCCTGGGTTATCTTAACCCAGCTTCGAACAACCCGGCTCAGCTTTTTGAAAATCCACTCTACTTCTCAAATCCTTGAAAAAATTATTCAAGCGCCATGGAATTATCATCGATAAGTATCAAACTTCACTACAGGAGATGAGACTGGAACTTTTAAAATATGCGCACACTCTCTTTTATTATTTAATTGACGGGTGTGTTTAAATCGTTATTTAACGCATTAAAAGTTTTTTTGGGGTTGTTTTCCTACTCATATACCTTGTCCGTGACTGTGCTCACATTGTGAGTGGCTCCTCCTAAAATGTTCTACAATTGGTATAGGATTTGATGGAGCCGAGACCAATTATGGAATTGCACACCGTTTTTAGGCATCCTACAAGGAGCCACAGGCTCCTGATCCTACTGAAGAACTGTTACGACTTTTAGATATTTCCAGCAACAACAATTTGCCGTCTGTCCTCTTTGAAATGTATTTTCGGAAGTGTTTCAACAAATTATGACCGGGATTGTAGCCTTACGATCTAGGTTTCAAAAAGAACTGTGTTTTCTCGAATTTTTGGTTCATATGTGGAACTAAAAGCAGGGAAAAAGATGAAGGTCACTTCTCTAAACAGAGATGTGCATGCTTGTTATCGACTAACCTCTCTTTTGAGTAAAGGAAGCATGGAGGAACGCCAAGTTCAAGTCTAGTTTCTTTCTTAAAACCTTAACAATTTTTTAAGATTGACATGGAAAACCAAACCTTGCTGGAACTGAGGAAACAGGCGTTAACAAGCGCAGAAGAAGAAAACATTCGTTTAGGAAATACAGTCATCGAAAACAAGGTGTCTTTCTTTAAAATAAACGTTTTTGTTTGATTGTATGCCATATAGAAATTCTCTTCATATTTGACACAGTTGAGTTTAGTCAAAGGGAAAACTTTGTTAAGGCGATTGGTGTGGCGGATTTAGTCATATCTTTTGGCTGGGGTTTAACCACACATGAAGATCAATCGTCATTCTCTAATCAGCTTCCGCAGATGTAGTTTACTAGAATGACGTTAATAAATCGCGCAGAGGGTTCAGATAGATGAGCTAAGGGAGCCCATGGAAGCCAATAAGGCCTACGACAAAAAGAGTTTTTTTTTTTCATGTTAACTGAAAATACAACTTGCTGTCTAAGTTACATTTGTGAACGGTTTAAATGAATTGATACTGGCTACAATTTTGGAAGATGTCGTGGCCCGTTTTTCGTACGAGACGTAAATACAAACATAAGACAACATTTACCTAGTCCCCAGGCCTCATTATTCCGCGCAGCCAATGCGTTTCCGGTTGTGGTAAGAACGAATTCGAACGAGTCTGAACGTTATTCGTCTCGCTTACGTCACCGAAATGCATTGACCGAGAACAGACTAGCTAGGGAAAGAGAGCAACGAGAACAATCGATATATCACTTGTTTTGGTATTTAAGTGCCAATGTAGCTTTGGGAATCTATTTCAAAAATTCCCTTGAAACTAAGTGATCACAATTTGAGCCCAAAACCATTTCAAAGTTTTAGCCCCTGACTCTATGTTACTCCATGCGACAATTAAACTATTTTGGCAGCAATTTTAAGTTTAAAAAGTTAATAATAATAGAACAGTCGCAACTTGGGGCTTCAAGAATTTTTATGAATTAACAGTTAGCTACAGTTTGCATTATACTTTCTCACCAGCTTTTTCAAGTCACACACATTCTCTAGAATGATCTCCATACCTTTCCGTAAAGTTATAAGAATTTGATAAAAGATCTAAGCATTTCCCTTTGGTCATTATTCAATTTATCAATTTTTATAACCTTTTGTCTCGATGAAGTATTGATAATGTTGAGAGAAAAAAACTTTGCTTCCATTGCATAATCTCGACCATTATTATTATTATTATTATTATTATTATTATTATTGTTAGACGGCAGACGATTATAGACAACTTTTAATACTGTCGCCGGAAGTTTTAAAAAGTTTTATAGAAATTAATTAAGATATTGTTTAAATTTTCTAGTCTTTCCAAAAAAGCAAAAGCAAACAAGGACTAGACAGCAGCGCTTTCAAAGAGGAAGGCATGGACAGTTATGACCTTGCAATCAAAGCATTGAAAAGAGGTGATTTCAGAGCAGCCCGGGATTATTATGAGTTAGAATTCAAGGAGGCCAAAAAGAACAAGGAAATGGATAGGGAATACAAAGCATGTATGAACCTTGGCAGTGCTTATCACACTCTCGGGCAGTTCCGAAAAGCAATCGAATTCTTTGAGCGGGCTCTTGGTATCGCAGAAGAGACTGCAAACAAAGATTTAGAAGGAATAGCATATTTAAACCTTGGCAGTGCTTATCACTCTCTCGGGCAGTTCCGAAAAGCATTCATATTCTATCAGCGGGCTCTTGGTATCGCAGAAGAGACTGGAAACAAAGATTCAGAAGGAACAGCATATTTAAACCTTGGCAGTGCTTATGGCTCTCTCGGGCAGTTCCGAAAAGCAATCGAATTCTTTCAGCAGGCTCTTGGTATCGTAGAAGAGACTGGAAACAAAGATTCAGAAGAAAAAGCATATTTAAACCTTGGCAGTGCTTATCACTCTCTCGGGCAGTTCCGAAAAGCAATCGAATTCTTTGAGCGGGCTCTTGGTATCGCAGAAGAGACTGGAAACAAAGATTCAGAAGGGACAGCATATTTAAACCTTGGCATTGCTTATGGCTCTCTCGGGCAGTTCCGAAAATCAATCAAATTCTATCAGCGGGCTCTTGGTATCGCAGAAGAGACTGGAAACAAAGATTCAGAAGGAACAGCATATTTAAACCTTGGCATTGCTTATCACTCTCTCGGGCAGTTCCGAAAAGCAATCGAATTCTTTGAGCGGGCTCTTGGTATCGCAGAAGAGACTGGAAACAAAGATTCAGAAGGAACAACATATTTAAGCCTTGGCAATGCTTATCACTCTCTCGGGCAGTTCCGAAAAGCAATCGAATTCTTTGAGCGGGCTCTTGGTATCGCAGAAGAGACTGGAAACAAAGATTCAGAAGGAACAGCATATTTAAACCTTGGCAGTGCTTATGACTCTCTCGGGCAGTTCCGAAAAGCAATCGAATTCTTTGAGCGGGCTCTTGGTATCGCAGAAGAGATTATTTTTTAAAGGAAATTACAGTGACTCACTTAAAGATGCAAAAGATGCCACTGACATACGGCCATCGTCACTCAAAGCGATAACAACAGGTGATTTTTATACCTACAATAGTCTCTTAGGTTTACCTTGATAATGTCATTACGTTCAAATAGGAGAGTTCGCATTACCAGGACCTCTCGCAAGCACCACACCCTTGTATATCGTAGTTTGACTATGCAAAGCGTTTTGAGGCCGAAATTTCAGGGTTCAGTATTAGGGTCAACGTGGTAGTCATTGTGTCCATGTTTACGGTTGCCTGAAAAAGGGCATATGGCAATAAGCGTATAGCACATTTAGTAAGAGTATAGACTATGGATACGACGTGATGAGCCGCAATTTATTTTTGTCTGTCTCCCGCGCGTGATTTTCCAATAAACTTTGCTGGGAAGTGGAGTTAATAACTGTCAATGTTATTGTAAAAAAAGAAAAAAAAAAGAATACTGTTGTCCGCGAGCGTTTGTTAGTTTCCTATCAGAAACTGCCAGGGATGGATAAGCCTAAGATGCCAGTTTGAGGAAGCTTTGCTGTATGTTGCAGTTTAGTTTTACTGAATTTTACTGATTCACATATTTCAGGAGCTAATGCCTCTTTGAAGATGAATATGTTTGAAGACGTGATCGCGTGGTGTGAAAGAGGATTACAAGTATCCTTAAGTTCATACTTTTCAACTCCATTGTAAAAAGGTGTTGCAACGTGTTCATTATACGCATCATTCTACATTCCCGGATAAAATTGTTGAAACGCCTGCGAATTTCTTCTCTCCTTCCCCGTTCCAAGACGTTTTATGCGTAAGCAAACCCGTGACACAAACATTGGGGGAAGAAGAGGTAAACAATACGTGTATTCGTGGAACGACTTATTTTATCTTGACTTTGCATTCGGGATCCTGAATTTTCCGCAAATGGACCGGTAACATCCCCATCAAACCGGCCTATGGTGTTTATCAAGTGAGGATAAAGGGGTCTCTCTGGTGTTTATATATCTCAACTGGTAAGATATGCTAGGATCTGCATGTCAAAGGTAGACTTTGTTGATAGACTTTGCCCACTTTCTTCTACGTCTAAATCAACAACTGGGCCCAGTTGTTCGAAGGCCGGTTAGCGCTAACCCAGGTTTCTTCTTCTTTTTATCAAAAGCACTCTCTCGGATAATTTTCTTTTTTCTTTTTAGAGTATCCAATCATGAAATTGTAGGCAAAGAGAATAAAACTGAATTTGATTTTTAAACTCTCATATTTGAGTTCAAATTTAGCACTAACCCTGGGTTATCTTAACCCAGCTTCGAACAACCCGGCCCATCGACGGATTCTTTACCGTTTTGAGTGCCCAGCTTTTTAAAAATCCACTCTACTTCTCAAATTCTTTAAAAAATTATTCCAGGGCCATGGGGTTATCATCGATAAGTATCAAACTTCACTGCAGATGAGACTGGCACTTTTAAAATTTGCGCACACTCTCTTTTATTATTTAATTGACGGGTGTGTTTAAATCGTTATTTAACGCATTACAGTTTTTTGGGTTGTTTTCCTACTCATATACCTTGTCCGTGACTGTGCTCACATTGTGAGTGGCTCCTCCTAAAATTTTCTACAATTGGTATAGGATTTGATGGAGCCGAAACCAATTATGGAATTGCACACCGTTTTTAGGCATCCTACAAGGAGCCACAGGCTCCTGATCCTACTGAAGAACAGTTACGACTTTTAGATATTTCGAGCAACAACAATTTGCCGTCTGTCCTCTTTGAAATGTATTTACCGGAAGTGTTTCAACAAATTATGGCCGGATTGTAGCCTTACGATCTAGGTTGCAAAAAGAACTGTGTTTTCTCGAATTTTTGGTTCATATGTGGAACTAAAAGCAGGGAAGAAGATAAAGGTCAATTCTCTAAACAGAGATGTGCATGCTTGTTATTGACTAACCTCTAATTTGAGTAAAGGAAGCGTGGAGGAAGGTCAAGTCTAGTTTCATTGTTAACTCCTTAATAATTTTTTAAGATTGACAAGGAAAACCAAACCTTGCTGGAACTGAGGAAACAGGCGTTAACATGGGCAGAAAGAGAAAACAATCGTTTAGGAAATACAGTCATCGACAACAAGGTGACTTTCTTTAAAAACGTTTTTGTTTGATTATATGCCTGAACGTTATTCGTCTCGGTTACGTCACCGAAATGCATTGACCGAGAACAGACTAGGCAAAGAGAGCAACGAGAACAATCGATATATCAGTTGTTTTGGTATTTAAGTGCCAATGTAGCTTTGGGAATCTATTTCAAAAATTCCCCTGAAACTAAGTGATCACAACTTGGGCCGAAAACCCTTTCAAAGCTTTAGCCCCTGACTCTATATTACTCCATGCTACACATGAAAATTAAACTATTTTGACAGCAATTTTAAGTTTTTAACAAATTATTAATAATAGTAAAACAGTCGCAACTAGGGGCTTCAAGACGTTTTATGAATTAACAGTAAGCTATAGCTTGCATTATACTTTCTCACCAGCTTTTTCATGTCACACACATTCTCTAGAGTGATCTCCATACGTTTCCGTAAAGAATTAGTTTTAAGAATTTGATAAAAGATCTAAGCATTTCCCCTTTGGTAATTATTCAATTTATCAATTTTTATAACCTGTTGTCTTGATGAAATATTGATAATGTTGAGAGAAAAAAAATTGTTTCCATTGCATAATATCGACCATTATTATTATTATTATAAGACGGTAGACGATTATGGACAACTTTTAATACTGTCGCCGAAAGCTTTTAAAAGGTTTCATAGAATTTAATTAAGATATTGTTTCTAGTCTTTCCAAAAAAGCAAAAGCCAACAAGGACTACACAGCAGCGCTTTCAAAGAAGATGGCATGGACAGTTATGACCTTGCAATCAAAGCCTTCAAAAGAGGTGATTTTAGAGCAGCCCGGGAGTATTTTGAGTTAGAATTCAAGCAGGCCAAAAAGAACAAAGAAATGGATAGGGAATGCAAAGCATGTATTAACCTTGGCAGTGCTTATCACTCTCTCGGGCAGTTCAGAAAAGCAATCGAATTCTTTGAGCGGGCTCTTGGTATCGCAGAAGAGACTGGAAACAAAGATTTAGAAGGAACAACATATGGAAACCTTGGTGCTGCTTATCACTCTCTCGGGCAGTTCCGAAAAGCAATCGAATTCTTTGAGCGGGCTCTTGGTATCGTAGAAGAGACTGGAAACAAAGATTTAGAAGGAAAAGCATATCGAAACCTTGGTACTGCTTATGCCTCTCTCGGGTAGTTCAGAAAAGCAATCGAATTCTTTGAGCGGGCTCTTGGTATCGCAGAAGAGACTGGAAACAAAAATTCAGAAGGAACAGCATATTTATACCTTGGCAGTGCTTATGACTCTCTCGGGCAGTTCCGAAAGGCAATCGAATTCTATCAGCGGGCTCTTGGTATCGCAGAAGAGACTGGAAACAAAAATTCAGAAGGAACAGCATATTTATACCTTGGCAGTGCTTATGACTCTCTCGGGCAGTTCCGAAAGGCAATCGAATTCTATCAGCGGGCTCTTGGTATCGCAGAAGAGACTGGAAACAAAAATTCAGAAGGAACAGCATATTTATACCTTGGCAGTGCTTATGACTCTCTCGGGCAGTTCCGAAAGGCAATCGAATTCTATCAGCGGGCTCTTGGTATCGCAGAAGAGACTGGAAACAAAAATTCAGAAGGAACAGCATATTTATACCTTGGCAGTGCTTATGACTCTCTCGGGCAGTTCCGAAAGGCAATCGAATTCTATCAGCGGGCTCTTGGTATCGCAGAAGAGACTGGAAACAAAAATTCAGAAGGAACAGCATATTTATACCTTGGCAGTGCTTATGACTCTCTCGGGCAGTTCCGAAAGGCAATCGAATTCTATCAGCGGGCTCTTGGTATCGCAGAAGAGACTGGAAACAAAAATTCAGAAGGAACAGCATATTTATACCTTGGCAGTGCTTATGACTCTCTCGGGCAGTTCCGAAAGGCAATCGAATTCTATCAGCGGGCTCTTGGTATCGCAGAAGAGACTGGAAACAAAAATTCAGAAGGAACAGCATATTTATACCTTGGCAGTGCTTATGACTCTCTCGGGCAGTTCCGAAAGGCAATCGAATTCTATCAGCGGGCTCTTGGTATCGCAGAAGAGACTGGAAACAAAAATTCAGAAGGAACAGCATATTTATACCTTGGCAGTGCTTATGACTCTCTCGGGCAGTTCCGAAAGGCAATCGAATTCTATCAGCGGGCTCTTGGTATCGCAGAAGAGACTGGAAACAAAAATTCAGAAGGAACAGCATATTTATACCTTGGCAGTGCTTATGACTCTCTCGGGCAGTTCCGAAAGGCAATCGAATTCTATCAGCGGGCTCTTGGTATCGCAGAAGAGACTGGAAACAAAAATTCAGAAGGAACAGCATATTTATACCTTGGCAGTGCTTATGACTCTCTGGGGCAGTTCCGAAAAGCAATCGAATTCTATCAGCGGGCTCTTGGTATCGCAGAAGAGACTGGAAACAAAAATTCAGAAGGAACAGCATATTTATACCTTGGCAGTGCTTATGACTCTCTCGGGCAGTTCCGAAAGGCAATCGAATTCTATCAGCGGGCTCTTGGTATCGCAGAAGAGACTGGAAACAAAAATTCAGAAGGAACAGCATATTTATACCTTGGCAGTGCTTATGACTCTCTGGGGCAGTTCCGAAAAGCAATCGAATTCTATCAGCGGGCTCTTGGTATCGCAGAAGATACTGGAAACAAAGATTTAGAAGGAACAATATAGAGTAACCTTGGCAGTGCTTATGACTCTCTCGGGCAGTTCCGAAAAGCAATCGAATTCTATCAGCGGGCTCTTGGTATCACAGAAGATACTGGAAACAAAGATTTAGAAGGAACAATATATAGTAACCTTGGCAGTGCTTATTTCTCTTTGGGGCAGTTCCAAAAAGGAATCGAATTCTGTAAGCTGGCTCTTCGTATCGTGAGAAAGACTGGAAACAAAAGTTCAGAAGGAGAAGCATGTAGAAACCTTGCTTTTGGTTACTACTCTCTTCGGCAGTTTCAAAACGCAATCGAATTCTGTCAGTGGGCTTATCGCATCGCAAAAGATACTGCAGACAAAGATTCAGAAGCAAGAACCTATGTGTACCTTGGTCGGTGTTATGGCAGTCTCGGTGATGTCGAAGAGGCATTCGAATTCTATCAGCAGAGTCTTGAAATCGCAAAAGAGACTGGAAATAAATGTGTAGAAGGAGTGGCATATGGGGACCTTGGTGATGCCTATGCCTCTCTCTCAGATTTCAGAAGAGCATTCAAAATCCTTCAGTATGCTGTTAGTATCGGAAAAGAGACTGGAAACAAACAAGGAGAACATTCTGCGTACCAAAAACTTGGGATGGTTTGCCAGAATTTCCCCGGCGACTTTTCGAGAGCTGAGGAGTCTTTTAAGTCTAGTATCAAACTGGTAGAAGAAATGAGAGATCTTCTGCAAGACAACGACGAATGGAAAATCAGTTTCCGAGATCGATTTGAAGTTTACACAAATTTATGGTGTTTTCAGTTACGTAACGGCAAGACCATCGAGGCCTTTTTTACAGCCGAGCGGGGACGTGCTCAAGCTCTCACCGATCTCATGAAATCAAGATACAGCGTCGAATTAACTCAGTTATCGTCGGAGGAGCAGATGGAAAGAATATCTTGCATTTCAACCCATATTTCATCACCTACGATATTTATCGCGGAGGTCCCAGAAAAATCAGTGAATTTCTGGTTGCTATTGAAAGGTCAGCAGTGGCAGTTTGTGCGAAAGAAAACCAATCAGTCCTTGGTTTGTTTAATTAAGAAAGCATATCAACAAATGAAAGTTGAAAAACCTGTCAGGTGCGAAGATCGTTCCTTGGATGGAATAGAAGATGGAGAGATCGAGGAGTCATGCGACAGGAGCACAGATGAGGAACAATCAACTCCACCACAAGAGGGAGATGATGCATTGAAAAACTTGTATGATATCATCATTGCTCCGTTTTTACACTTGATAAATGGTGATGAACTTGTCATTGTCCCTGATGGAGCATCATTCTTGATTTCTTACGCTGCCCTTGTGGACCAGAATGGCAGGTATTTGTCTGAAACGCTGAGAATTCGATTGGCTCCATCTGTGACCAGCTTAGTGCTGCTGGCAGAGTGTGCAGAGGACCGCCATGGCACATCTGGTGTACTGCTTGTTGGTGATCCATGGGTGGAAACTGTTCGCTTAGGCCGCAAAAGGTTTGGGCAGCTCCCTTGGGCCGAGAAAGAGGTGAAAATGCTTGAAAAAATGCTAAACGTTCAGCCTCTAACAGGAAAGAACGCTACCAAGGAACGAGTATTAAGTAGACTCGAGTCAGTTTCCTTAGTGCACATTGCAGCTCATGGTCGTTCAGAAACCGGTGAGATTCTTTTGTCTCCTAATCATGGTAGTCCCGAAAAACCCAAAGAGCAGGACTTTCTCTTGACAATGGAAGATGTGCTGAAGGCAAAGCTGCGTGCTAAGCTTGTTGTCTTAAGCTGCTGTCACACTGGGAAAGGGAAGATCTGTGCTGAAGGAGTTGTGGGTATTGCACGTGCTTTTCTGGGGGCCGGTGCCCGTTCTGTTATTGCGTCATTGTGGGCAATCGAAGACAAAGCCACTATGGAGTTTATGAGAAACTTCTACGAACATTTGATTGCAGGCCATAGCGCAAGTAAGTCTCTCAATCAAGCCATGAAATTGATGCGGGAGTCTGGTGAATTCAATGAAGTGAGGCAATGGGCGCCGTTCGTGCTGATTGGTGATGACGTGACATTTGATTTCTCATTATTGACCAATGAAGGTAAGATTGTCACACCGAGTTGAGATAGAATGATGATCACGTGGTTAAGATTCTTAGACGAAAAGTGATTTCTAGTCCTTGATCATTAGACTGGAAATGAAACCGGAGTTTCGTTAACAATTCACTTTTGCGAAACAAACAACTGCCCGAAGAGTACTCTGTTTAATCCAGAGATGAAAGAGTCTGGGATATTTGAACTACAAGTGGAGGCTAAATAACAAGTTTTCACGCAACAATATTCCAGATCGGTGTAGTTCGTTAGCAAGGGAGGGAGGAAGGAGTTAGGTGACTTTGTTTGAACTAGAATTTTTTTCCCAGGCCATTCCTGTGATCACGTTTTTCCTAATTTTTGGTGTAAATATAAGACTATTGACTCAACTTAAGTATTAACTTTTTTCGTTTCCACCCTTCCCCAACCCTTCGAGAGTTCGACAGTCAAATCGTCGTCCACTAATAAACACTGCTTATACTTACCACTGCGCCACCGTTGCTACTAGACAAGCTTTTGTACAATATCTTGTTGCCTCGAACTACAAGTATTTTAATAGATTGATGGGCTCAACATATTGCAGAACCAGTCAAAGTCCAAGATGTCCTCAAGTCGGAGTCCTGCGTTCTGACAAGTTTCATTTCTATTCCTTTCATATTTTTCAGTGAATTTCTCGGAATCCGCCTTCCAGACATCTTGGATTTTGATTGGTTCTGTAGTGGGGTTACGCTCGATTACCAGCCGCTGTTCGGGAAATGAGCCCATGCGAGAGAGCAGCGGAAATCGAACCCAACCTCGTCCCCAGGGTCTTCTCGTTTTTCTACCAATGCCATATTTGAAAACGAGAAGACCCTGGGGACGAGGTTGAAATCGAGCCTACAGTGGGGTATGAAAACCATGGAAGCTGCCAAAACTTATAGAACACCGCGAGTCAAAACGCCAATACCTTTTTCTTTCTCTCTTTCAGCTACGTCCCAGCCAAGCACGGGGACGGATCATTAGTCTCTGCTGAGTTTATCCGTCGCTGTTTACACGTTCAAGGGATAAAGCCAAACAGCTAACCAAGACATTAATTTTAGTGTATATAGCAAAATAGAGCGAACGGCTTTCAGAAACGACAGCTCATCTAGGTAAACATATTAGAATTAAAGCAATTCCGGCTGTGTATTTTTGATTTCTTCTCTACAAACAGAGAGGAGTAAAAAATTCATTATTTTATCTAATCATGTTTTTTGTCCTTTTTTCAGTTATAAATAATTTTAGTTGGACGCTGCGTATTAAAAAAAGTAAAATTCAAGTTTTTCCTTAGATTATTTGTATGTCAAGTCTGTCAACCCTTTTTATGTAATAACCTTAATTTTCAATATTTTTTTATCAGGACAGAAAGTAAGCAATAAAGTATATTCAGCAATGACACATTTTGGTCTTGTACAAATCATTGAATTATCGAACAACTGCCAGAGAAAAATTAAGAACTCAACTGTCTTTGAGACAGACATACTGATTTTTAATGGCTGCAAATTATATTGATATTACCCCTGTGCTGATCAGATTATATTTCTTTCACAGTATTCTAAGAGATTTCGACGCCGAATTTTTAAGACGATAGCTTGATTGAACAAATTTCCAAATTTTACTGATTTCGAAATTCACTGATTTTTCGTCATGCATGTTTGCCAAAACCTGCATCTGGACTAATCACAATCCCAATGGAGTTAGTCGCCGATAGCCGTGAAAGTTCGACAAGAAAGGACATCTTTAACAACTTATTTTGGAATCTGATTGCTGCGTTTTAGATTTCTAAAAAGACAAGATGCACGAGTTTGTGAACCCGGCCTTCTTTTAGTTCATAAAATGATAGAGCTCCCGGAAAATGTGCACTAAGCAGTAATGCACCACAACCCATATGAACTTTGATGATGAATTGATGATGAATAAATGGAAAAAAATACTACCGGCTAGCAAATAAGACTGGAAAATAGACTCGAACGTTCCAAAGGGGTGTACTTGACCATGACAGCATAATGCTTCAAAGTAGTGTTGCAGCTAGTTTTCTTTTTCTTCAAATTAGCATGAGCTTCAGTCACAATCTTAGGTAGTAAACTAATATTTTGAGTGAAAAATCTTTGAAATAA